CTTGCTTCTGTTTTATTTTCCTAATGCATTTAACCTTCTCGAAGTTTTTCGCTCATTTTATTTCGCCTTATTCTTCTTGTTTAGAAAAGTAGTCCACTAGGTTTAGTAGGTTTAAATAAATTTTTCATTTCTACCATAACCGAAAAATATCAAAGCTTAATTTGTCTTTTACAATTATCGAATTAAATGATCGTGTTTGACCATTCGCGCTTGGTCACAATTTTTTTTTACCGCGTTTCAAGCAGTTTGATGGTATCCATATTACTTAAAATGGGAAAATCCTGTGTTCTGATTGGCTACATGAGCGGGCAACATGGGCCCATCTGCCCGCACGGGTTTGCCCGCTTTGATCCCACGCAGGAAAAAAATTGCGTGGAGCAGACTTACAGAAGCAAATCAGTTCGTGACCGAAACCATGTCATACAATAATAGAGGGCCCCAGCTGGTTCTTGTGATCACTGATCTGAAGAGTTGGCGAAATTATAACTGGAAATATTTCTAAACTGTCTGAGAATGTATCATAAATGAAGTGTATCTAGAAGAGAATTGATTGTTTGTGTTTTAAACGAGTCCCAGTTGGCCTGATCTTGCATTTTCTGTTCTAGAGTGGCTTGACTTGGGTATGGAGGAATCTGATGAAAAAAGTAAAGTTGATCGACACATGACATTACCGTTAATTTCTGACATCAGTGTGTTTCTGTGTCAGTTTTTGCAACACATCTAAATTATCTCACAAAAAAAGTGAAAAATAAATTTCTACATATGCTCATACCCACAAAGCGTTATTACATGGCTTCAGAGTTGTAAGGATATCACAAAGCATGCACTTGCTACCGTTAAGCTGCTTCAAGAAACAAATTGTAATCTAATCACCTGATTTCTAAGTTTTCGCAATGTTGCTTCTGTAGCATGCTGCAGGAACCAACTTTTCTTTATCAAAACACATTCCGCTCCATTGCTAACCTGAAAATGCACAGTACATAACACATAGCTTAAGACGGAATATTCTATCACAAGTATTCTTCTTCAAAGTCCCATTAAAAGGGCTTTGGAGGGTCCAAAGAGTTCCTCTCCGTCATGATAACTCCAGATTTGCTTTGGGATCCAAGAGGCCCATATTGAGTTGAAGAGGTTTGTCTCTCATATCATACAAAGGCAAGAGGAACGAAATACCATAAGGTAGGAAGTGAAACAAAACGATTTTAACACGGTGCAACTAAAATTGCTATCACATGTTCTTACCAAATGGCATTTGACGGCAGGATTATCGAAAAGTAGCATCGAAAGACCCTAGAAGGGAAACAAAAAATTGTAACTATCACAAGGTTGTGACGTGAAAGGAACTTGATAGTTGTGAGTTTTGGACACGGTAGGGATGAGAGATGAGATTATATGCTCTAAGTTGACCTAAAAGTTTAAGTTTAAAGAATAAAAGTCTTAAACGCACGGAATGATTTTGCATTTACATTGCGAGTCGTTTGTCTGTATGGGTGGACAGCAACCAGGAGAAGCCGCATGAGATTATTATTCCTCTAATTAGAACAAACTTAGTTATACCGAGATCCCTCCTGAATGATCTGTAAATACCCTAAGAAGGACTCCCTTGAGTGAGTGAGGCCTATGTAAGAGAGTCACTCTTTGAGTCTAATTTTCTCTTGCTGTAGTTTATAATAGAATTACTTACAAACTGATCCTTGGGTTTAAGTAATTCTATCTGCACCACCACTTGCTCGTTTTTTGAGTCCGCCTCTGGTGTCTCAAGTTGTATTTTGTTATTCTGGAATAAAAATGATACAAATTTTTTTTTAGGGCGAATTCCTTTTTACGGATAAGAACCAAAACCTACGCTTGAATTTGTTTTGTCCTTCTTCCATCTGGGCTTAGCCGTTAAGAAAATTTACCATGACAGCGATGATGACGATTCTAATATCGATACTTACGTGTTACAGGCACTTGAGAGTATGAAAATTCTCTTAGAGTTCTGACCTATCACTTTTTTCTTGGCAAAGAGAGGGACGGGATTACTTGAAGTCCTCCCCTATCTTAGCCACGCCCTTTATTCGGAGTTACAATCACTGACCCTAACCAGGCTAGAAACTGTCATGACTGTCATGAGAGGAAAAATACGAGCTTTTAGTACTCACCGAAGGAGTTTTATTTCGGGGTTTTTCCACATTACTAATCCGTTTGTGGAGGCGTTCAATTTTCTGCCGATGTTCTTCGCTATCTCTGACTGCATGATAAGAAAAGTATTAGAAAAATTATTCATTTTTTTTTTTTAGGCTTTCACTAAAATACTCTGAAATGTTCATAAGGGGACTCTACGATGAAATAATGTTTTTTTCTTGTGCCTCAGCCTGTAAGGAACTGCGAAGTATAAGTTTGATTGGAAAGACAGAGACAAAACAGGCAAAACTTAACAACGAAGGACAACAGCAATGACTGGATTTGAAAAAATTTACAAGTATAACAAGTGACGAACTCGAAAAATTTTGAAGAATGACCAGTTGACTCCTTCGAAATCAACTTAAACGTTTAAATAAACTCACTATCTCGAGATAATGCGCTCAGACGTCCCATCCAAGTCACGTTTTTAGCGGTTTTCTGAGGAGTAAAAAAATGTTAATCCATTAGACCCTAGCAATTAGACGATTGATCTGAGGATATGAAAGATCGCCGTCAATATATAGATGGCCTGCAAAAGAGGCACATTAATTCAAGGTCTAGGAAAAATTGAAAGTGAAAACTAAGACCTTAAAACCCAGCGCAATGCTTGTGGCTGGCAACATGAATTGTAGGAGGTTTGAATACATTATTCATTCGCGCGCTTTGACGATCTTTAAGAAAACCAATCGTGGTTCTTTGTTACAAATTGTACTCGAAATTGTATGATTGCCTGTGCCAGTATTTTACCCGTTATAAAAGCCAGATCCCGTTAGTTTTATAGCGCTCACGGAAGGGTTTGCATTTCAGTGGAGTGGACAACATAGCGGTCAAACGTCTCTGTATGTGCAAACGTTGTGATGACTAGGCGGCGTGCTTTCAGACCACACTAGTCAGTTGGTCATAGTGTTTTAAAAGCGCATAACGTTTTCTGTAAATCAACAAGATACCCTTACTTGACTAAGCTTTGCGTTCAAAAATTCTTGAGTTCTCTATATCTTTTCTTTTGTTCCCTTTTACAGCTTTCTATAAACATTTCAACTATTTCAAGGTTATTTTGCGAGACAGCGGTTGTTTGCGATGTTTTCTTTGAGATTTTGCGCGGGAAATTGGCGCGTGGGCGAGAGAATTGATCCCCGCGCGCATGCCCGACGTTCGACCGCTGTGTTTTGGACAGGACCACATATCATGAATAAATAATAAAGATGGATTCCTCGTTCATCTCTTACCCTGAATTTTTCCGGTTCACCAACCAAGGCAGGCAGTGTTAGATCATTGTTGTTCTTTGAGGATAAGGAAGGTTCAGTCTTAGGCCGTTTAATTTCCGGTGACCATAAGATTGGTCGGATACGATCACCAGCAGCTAAAAATGGACGAAATAACGCCAAGGTTAACTGCCTCAGTTTTCTATCAGCCTACGTAGTAGGCGTATTTTCTGGTATGCGAGTGCATGTAGGTCTATGAAATCATATCTGGGAGTTTAAGAAAGCCATGGCGGCAACTGCAACGGGAATGTCACTTAACAAAACGTTTTAATGAGCAGAACAATGGCTGTGGACGTGCGTTACAAATCTTTGTAAATTTTTTTGCGTCCTCTGCAAAATGACAACGTAAAATGACAAAACCTTGTGTTGTCTGGACAACGTACTCGGTGATGGCTAGTTTTTTAAATTTCTTTTTCTAATTTAATGCTGTGTTCCATGTTCAGTTTCGAAATAGTTTTGACAGCGAGAAACAAACTTAATAACTTTAGAGCGTCGCGAGATTCGTAGGTAAAATATAAGTTCATATTTTAACCTACGTTGTCCACAGCGTCGCCTTCGTCGTTTCTTAAACTCCCTATTGAATTATTAATACGGTCGAAACCGAAAGTTCAGCAACCAGTGGCGCGTACAGTAAAATTACTTTCACGTGCAGACATGTGCAGTAAGGAACAGATATAATAACGTTCACTTCATAACTAGAAGTAATCTTCG